ACCAAGTTTCAAAACTAAAGATTCATTTTTCCTTTACATTTCGCAACTCACACAACCGACCGGAACTTCCGGAGAACGTTTGGAAAAGTTCCGCCGGGTCAACTACGGAAGTTCCCAGAATGCGAACCACAACAGCAAAAGAGAAGACCTAAGCGAGATTTGAACCTCACTCTATTGAGTGTGAGACCCACCTGTGGAAGTTCCTGTTTTCAACCAGTTTGACGTGAGAATCCTGCGGAAATTCCCATATTTAACCACTTTTCTGATAGTAAACAAAGTCCTGCGGAATCGCTGCAAATTTTGGCTTGTCCTGCGGAAGTTCCGGCGATCTGTCTGAGAAGTTATATCAAAAATTCTGAGCTTACAGTAATTCAAGTCAGGTAACTGAAAATCCAAAAAGCCTTCTATGAAGATTTCGAACTTTCATCATCAAATCAGCATTCCTACGAATTAGGTCACAGCATTAGTATTTACATTCATCTGTTGTTTTTCTCTACTTAAAGCAAAAAAAACCAAAACAAAGGGCGGAAATTTGTCGGCACTTCATTGTTTCTGGTCTAACCCGGTTAGTTGAAACTTGCAAACTTCAGCATATATGAGAGGAACCGGTTTAGGTGTCGTCGTGGAGTTTGCGTAAGAAAATGAGGAAATTACCGGGGAAAAACTTTCGATAATGGTGAAATGAAATGAATCAGATGAACTTCATTGAGGTAAGGGTTGGGGGTTGAATGAGAATCTGGAAACAAAGTGTACCTAGAAGAAAAACCAAAATATAATTTATTTGAGTTTTTTAGAAACTACGAACAGCTGTTATCTTCGTGCTTGCTATGATAGCGCTCCATCCTCAGACAATTCACCGACTTCCGCAGGACAAGCAGGATTTGCAGCGGTTCCGCAGCACTTTTTTCATCATTAAAAAGTGCATTCTCCAGAGTGATCGGTTTTAACAGGAAGTTGAATCAAATATCCCTACTGTAATTATGCTATGGTACATTTCCACAAATTAGACGCTATTTTTTTCTTCTCGCTGCCCTTTCAACAATATTCTTTGGAAATTTTTTGACTCGGGAAAAAATACATATTTTGATGGGAGAAGGCTTCTGATGAATAATGCCAGGATTCGGCAGTTAAACGATGCTACATGCGATAGTAACAAAATGATGTGTAACCGATTTTTCGCGAAATCTCGACATTTTTTATGATTACCGTATACCCACCCTGCGGACTGCGGTGTAAACTCGGTTGCTATACGGCAGAGACAAAGCGTCGAGCAGCGAAAGGAGGAAAATTTACCCTATCGTTTATTGATAAGCTGTACTAGTATTGTTAAATCCAAATATCTTTATGCTTCGTTACAGTATGGTACCGCACTGTTTTCAGACAAGTCACCGGAACTTTCGCAGGACAAGCAGGATTTGCCGCGGTTCCTCAGCACTCCCTTCATCATAAAAAGAGTGCTTCTTCAGAATGGGAGGTTTCCACAGGAAATTGAAGTCAGAGAGATCAAACAGGACTTCCGCAGCACTTCCCTGAAGCACTGTGGAAACGCTGTAAATCGCAGTTTTTGCGCAGAGTTTCCCAACATTTCCGCAGCGTTGCATTTCATTGCGGAAGCCTCAGTTTCCGCAGGTTACCCGGCGGAAATGCTGCAAAAGTGTTGCGGAAGTTCCGTTCAACTATCTGAGGTTGGGGTACGGTAACTGCACGTTCATAACAAAAAATACATGATTGGCCGTTCTTGGCATCCTGGAAGCAGTATTTGTATCCTATTTCATGGATTACGGTATCCCATATTGGAAAAGCTTATTAGGATACGGTAGCAGAATGACAATTTGAACAACGACAGTGCACCGTATATGTCTTAACGATTACTGTATTTATACGGTATGAATTAGAAACTCACCTTTTTCATCTAATTATAAATCGTCTTTTGGGTAATAATGTTAAGAAAAAAGGTGTTTTTAACACAGTTGTGTTTTCCTTCCTTTTCTGCAAACATCAGAGATTTTGAATTTTAAGAAGAATAATTTTTTTCACTGAAGTATGAGGAATTTGAGTCATGTAAAATTCAGCTGATAACTCGATTTTGCCAGTAATTTCCAATTCTCGTATTGCTCCAGCTCATCACTTATGACCTAACAGTTTGCTACTGAAACATATCGATTTATTGATCGCTACCTTCGACATTTTACCGTATGCATCGTGTCAATCTGCTCTCAAATCACCGAGCCATGAACAATACGACGGCATTTAGCGATAATGCCGAGCAAATACCATGACAACTCGTCTCAAAGGTCAGTCGACCTTGTGTCGACGCGCTTGCAAATATCTGCTGGTGCCCTTTTGATTCCAACAGAACAAACGCGGAGACCACTGACCTTTTTTGTTCTGGCAATGAGTGGGGGTTAATAGGGGCACTTAGCAGCCATAAGTGTTAAGCGCAATAGGGGAGAGGGGAGCACCGAAGAGATTTGTCGAGATGAACCTTCTTGTTTCAAAATTTTTATTGTGAATTTTAGCATAACGTACATATCTTATGACCAGTGGCGGACCGAGGGGAAGCGGGGGGGGGGAAGCCACCTCTCGAAAATGGGCCTCGAAATTTTTGAAATTCAATTACATGAGCTATAAAAATGTGCAAGTGACTTGTTTATTCTTGTAAACAATTAATTCTGGAATTTTTTTAACATTCAAATTAGCCTTGTAAAAAAAATTTTCGGGGCTCTAGATTTTTCTAGATTTTTTCTAAATTTTTGGTGGATAGGTGGATTTTATGGACACATAAAAATATTTAGAACTCCAAAATGTTTTGCCCTCCCCCCCTCCCTCCCCCAGACGGAAATCCTGCGACCGCCACTGCTTATAATCCGTGTCATTTTGCTTCCTATCTTACTAAATGCATTATTAATTCGGCGGTGGATGATAAGCGAGCGTGGAGATTACAACTCAAGTGCCCAAAATGGTCAATTTTTATAACATTATTCTTCCGACTAATTCAACGAATACGCATAGTTACAGACACATGCATCTGATTAGCTCTTCCGCTAGAAAAAAACGCACGGAAATCTGAAAAGTTTTTTAGCTAGATTTTCACACAAGCTATTGATTTTATCACCCCCTTTATAGATGTAAGCCTTTTTCATGGTGTAATCACGATTTAAAGGACCTTCGAAAGACAGCTGTCATAGCATACCTGGCATACTCATGAATTTTGCATCCGGATGAAGTGCAAATTTTATATTGGACTTAGCTGCTCTATTTTACCTATTCCCCCGTGGCCACAATATGGCCTTAATGGGTTCAAAATCCTCTCTGAATCAACCGTAATCCTACAGTAACGGGTAGCAACCGGTGATCCATTGTGTATAAATCTAATAATGAAGCCACTCTACAATGTGATTGCCATGGTTTCGACGACCTCAAGGCGAGAGAATTATTCTCAATCACTAAGAGTATACATAACCTTTAATTCAACTGGCTTGGCGGCTAGAAGGCGGGGCTTTGTGACTTGATTAAGGTCGCTCGCGCCCGCGACGCAGCCTGCGTCTCTCTCGCGAGCATGCTCTCTAATCACTATCTGGGGCTAGGTGACAAAGCCCTACCTTCCAGCCGCCAAGCCAGATGATCAAAGGCTACGGTTGGGACGACCTGTGTAAATCAAGGAGGGGCCATTTGTAACAAGATCAGATGTTTGAAGAAGTCGCATGAGATACTGTGGCCAACTCTTATAGGGACATACTACTTTCAGTAAGAGCCCTTTCGCTTCTATTATTTCCGCCATCTAACACTTTTAAGAACTTCATGTTGCGTGACTTCAGACAATGAGATACAATTTGGCAGTAGTTGAATGATAGCTCTGTCATGTGAACCATAATATTGAATCCAGAGCTCTTGAAGAACGGTTAGCTTTATGAAAATTTGATGGTCATTGGAAGGGACCAGTTCTCGCTTAGCGTACTTAAAGCGTACAAAACTACTTTGTGAATCATACTTCTATCGAGAACATTCTCAACAGGTTTCAATGTCCTTTTCGCAATTTTAACAAATATAGTGAACAAAGTGTTGTGATATTTTAACTTTCGATATGATTCGTTTTTTTTTCGTTTTTCCGCTCATTGCACTTCTTGAAATATAATCTAACCTTTAATTCAACTGGCCTAGCGGCCAGAAGGCAGGGCTTTATGACCTAATTAAGGCCGCTCGCGCCCGCCAAGCAGTCTGCGTCTCTTCCGCGTGCGTGCTCTCTCTGATCATCACCTAGCCTTAATTAGGTCAAGAAGCCCCGCCTTCCAGCCGCCAAGCCGGTTGAACCAAAGGGTAGAGTGTTCCCTGTTTGTGGGTAAGAGTCAACAACTCGATCTGGAAAATGATTGATGCTCGAAAAGAAGGAAATTGCAGGTGCGCCTCAGATCGACTGAACCCGGAAGGCAGAACAACTGTTGCGTGGGTAATGATTCAATCAATATTTTATTCTGACAGCACCAAAATCACTCGAAGTCATACATTTAAACTTATGAAACGAAGAGAAAATGAGATTTCAAAGTTATTATTGATACAACTAATGTTTTCGAAGACCTGCGTGATAATGAGGTATTTGCACATTGTGGAAGGATTATGGCTAAAGCTCTTTGAGCACCGGTAAGATTGCTTTAGTCAACGGGAGTACGATATCGCATGAAACTATGAACTCGTACAGAAAATAAACGAGATAGACTAAACAAAATGAGATCATGTCTGACCAATCAATATATCGATTATTGGTCATCATATTGAGCGTATAATTATGAAGCGGTTATGACCCGACAATTTATGATCAATACGTGAATATGGGCTAGATTGAGAGGAATTACTAGAAATGTGAGTTAAGAGGAGGTTAAACGGAAAATAATGGGATATTTGGACTAGGTAAGCCCACGCCCACTCGGAGAACCACGCCCATTTTCCATGCTAACGTACGTCAGACATCAAATTTGGTTTTAAATTGAATTAGTATGGACCACAATTTTTTTTCTGCTTCACACAAAAAAGCAAAATAAAAAAAATGGGCGTAGCCTAGCCCAAATATGCCCCGCTCACACTTGATGAGTGTATTCAACTACAAAAAAGTGACGTGAGGATCGGTAGCTATTTCTTCCAAGATTAGCGCCACCTGCGAATCGCATTCATTTACATCCGCAGGCATTTTCTGTGGAAGAGGAAGTGGTCGTACGACATCGGGCATCGTTGTGTACAGACTAGATGGACGTCGTCGTCGGACATCGTTGGAATTGAGTATGTCGGGACCGTTCTGCTCAGCTTCTGGTAAGGAGAGTTTTTTGCCTAAAATGACCATTTATGCACAAGTTATCGGCAGAACAGAGTGAGCGACAACTAGCGGCACCTGGCGACAACGAGCGACATTGAGCGAGTTGGTGCGACAAAGTATGATGCTTACCTATTTCGGATTTGGGAAGGGAGATATGATTGTTATTGTTGTTGAGAGGCTTCCCCATTATAGGCATTGGTAGAGGATGTATAGTCGATGCTTGTGTGCTGGCGTGCGAATTCTCCTCGGCTACAAATCGATATATTGATTTTCTGCTAGCTAACAAACATAAGGTGGGATAATGCGTGTGGAACAAGAACACTCACATCCAGGCCGATACGAGGGATTGGATGCAGTAGACATAATAGGTTTGTAGGTGGATGAATTTTCTTGATTGCAGGTGAACTGACTGAAATCATGCGCATGACATAATATTGATTGATGCACATAACATATATTGATTGGAAGAATAAAATTAAGCTCAAAAAAGTTTGGCGTATGCTTATGGCAAGAGAATAGGGAAAGGTACATGCTAATATGTCATTATCCGTAGTTTTATGAAGTTCAATATGCTCTTGTTGGTCTCCGCGCGATTACGCGCGTGCACATACCTCATGAATCGCATCTGCTGATTGACAAGCCGACCAACTGCAGACTGCCGCGTTCGGACATTCTTGTACGGTTGGAACAAGACGATGTAAACCTAAAAATGGAGTTGTTTCTTTGTTTTTTGGCAATCTGCCAGTTCCTACCTTTGGCGCGAAAAAGCACACCAACGCTACTGTCCCAGATAACGATACACACATACACAATGATGTAATTTGTATCTAAACAGCATAAATCAATAAACCAAGCTGGTGACCAGTTCTCGTCATCGCAAAAGTCTTACCCGGAAGTTGTTTTGTGTAGCGAAATAAATCGGTCCGAACGATAACCACAATATACAAGTACTGTACATGGTAAAGCCAATATGCCGGGTTTCATTAAAATTTTCAGGAATTTTTCGGGTTTTGAAGGCATACACCGTACAGGCAACGATTAACACGAGATTGTATAAGGAAGAGATCAGTAGATGTGATGCTGTTGCCTAAAATTTGAATTTTACAGGAAAGAGTTAGTGGGGGGAGCAAGCTCCGCCCACCTTGCAAGTGAGAACAGCTTCTGTACGAGAAGGAAAGACCACTTTTGTCCCTGGTGGATCAAAAACTAGCCAAATAAGTGAGCCGAACAGCTGCACCGATACGATGCAAGCACAGATGCCAACCTGAGATATGAGCCAAAAATTACAAGATAGGAAAACTTCCGTTGAGTAAAAAAAAAGCAAGGAAAATCTACTCAGAAGAAAAATAACATCAAACCGAGAAAATTTGTACCTGAGCTCTTGGCGTAATGAATCGTGGCCTCTGTGCGCTATCCGGCTTGAATACCCGTGCTAATCGGTTAGTTTTTGTTATTATGGCAGCGTATATCGCCGACATTGATAATCCCATCAATACCTGGAAAAATTGTTGAAGTATTTTTGTAGCGAGTAACTGTATAGTTGTTAACATTATGTAGCAAAAAATGACGGATACGCAGTTCACCGCTACGCATGAAGAAGCGCCGCAGGCCAATTTGAGCGGCACGAACGTTGAAAGAGTGGATATCCGTTCAATTACTATAGACACGAAGCCCGAAATGAAACTATCGTTTTTCAGGTGTAAAACAAACTGATGCAACAAATGACAGTTGAGCGGATTTGTTGATCATCTGACAAAAATAGAGGCATTTTACCGCGCCGCCAAAAGATGCGTCGCGGCACGCCAATTTGCGCACCAAAAACGGTCGAAAAATACTCTCTACTGCTACATATAAAGCTTTAGATGAGTCATATCTGGAGTGAAATTTGAATATGGTGAGCACATCAAGATGGCAGGCGACGAGAGTAACTTCTCAACATTTAATGGCAAAAAAAGGTGAATGGGCCTTGCCGCATCGTGAGAAGAAGCGCCACGGTAGGCTAATTTACGCGCCACAAACAACATTGGTTGAAAAGTGCTCAAATAACGACAAAGTTATTCAGGTGAAAGAAAAGAGTCGTATCTCAAGTAAAAAGCAAAAAGTCCGATGCGTACAGAAGTGCAAACAGCGAGCGGTTGCGTTGCGGCTCCCTTTACCGTAGCCAGAATACTTACCCTAGTAAAAGCACATGTCGGAATGGAAGGCTGTGATACGAGGAAAAATGTGAGGAGGTAACACATTGATATACCACTAATCATACAATAACAAAGTTCACGCCCAGATGCCATTATCTGCAACGAAACAATTGTACGCTGCGCCAAATCAATCGATACGCACACTTACCACAGGCGTGTTTGAGAATTTTAAAAAGACGGCCACGACGAATATCGTTGAGCATAAACCAAGCAACGAAAAACCGGCAGGTATCAGCGCCCAACCAGTATCCCAGCTAAATTTTCTTATTTTTGAAAAAAAAATATTGAATAAGATAGAAAGTACCCACCTCATGGATACTGGAGGTATAGGTACGCAGTAGCTTTGCGTCTCCAAGTCTGGCACTTCACCTACTGGACACATCTCGCACCTAAAGGAAGTATAAACGGCACATGCAGAAAATACATAAAATATTCCGCTTACCTGGTAATATTGATGATAATGCTTGTAGCTGTATCACATGGTATACAAGCCCAACAGCAAGTTTGGTCTTGATATGCTCTAAAAATCACTTTTAGAAACTCTAAAAACTTAAAAGCCCTTGCACAATGCCGCAGTTGGTCCTGCAGCGAGCGGCCTACCTTGCTGTAGTCTAAGGGCCGCATGCACTAACATCCTCGCGGGGAGGGGTTCGCAGCTCAAAAGAAAGCTTTATATTTCGAAACTCCAGATACCTGGATTTCACGTTGTGTACTTATCCGTAAGTATGCCTACTACCCTCCGCTATGAACATGTTGAACAGGAGCGAGAAGCTGTACGAACCGCATTTTCCAGCTTTTGTATGATCCCTGATGATCCCCTGCGCTTTTCTTCAAAGTCATTTTTCTTTCTCAGAGGTTAACGAAGAATCTCCAGAGTTGTGCAGATTGTCTAACCCGACAGTGCTAAGCATGTTGCTGATAAGAACAAATGATGCTTTGAAGTCACGAAATTTTCGATGATCCATAGGTCGAAATTTGAGGTTTACCGAAAAATTCGACTTTTCAAAAACTCATTTGTTCTCATCAGCAACATGCTTAGCACTGTTGTATTAGATGTTCAGTACAACTTTGGAAGGTTTTCGTTAACTTCGGAGAAAGAAAATTGACTCTAAAGAAAAGCGCTGGGGATCATCAGGGAGCATACAAAAGCTGGAAAATGCTGTTCGTACAGCTTCTCGCTCCTGTTCAACATGTTCATAGCGGAGGGTAGTAGGAATAGTTACGGATAGGTACACAACGTGAAATCCAGGTATCTGGAATTTCGAAATATAAAGCTTTCTTTTAAGCTGCGATCCCCTCCCCAGCGGGGAGGTTAGTGCATGCGGCCCTAAGAAAACTTTTGTTATAGTACTCATCATGTCTTACTCACTCAAGAAAAGGTTTCAAAGATTCAATGAAATGATAAGAACAAGTTAGAACCTACTTTTCAAAAAAATCATTTTTAAGCTGCAAAAGTTGAGAAAGGGAGAATGTAAACTTAGAAAGTAGTGTACCGATAGTGTCCTCGAGGGCAGTCTACGGAACAGACAGAGAACGGACTTTCGCCAGGCGCCAAACGAAAACCGTGTCGCACTTGTTCCACTCGCACCTCGAACGAGTCTTCACTTGATCGCCACTTGCCAACCTGGAAAAGATAGGTATCGATCAATTCTTTTGAAGATTCACGCGAGTAAATGTCTTACTTTTTGGTAAATGCCTTTATCGTTCAGTTGAAAAACGTCGTACCGTCCAATTCCGTCTCCATTTGCATCGATGAGTGGCGGCTCATTTTCTAAATGCGTTATGTATGCGTATCGATTGGATTATAAATACAGAGGTAGGATACACCAATCAATAATTATAATCAAGCTGGGAAACATGTTGGACAAGTATAGCAAGCATAATGCTGGGATATTTCATTGATTGATAGCTTACTTTTGGGAACTGCATCGGGAAACAGGTCTGAAGAGAGATTAGAACGATAATTTACAATACTAAGCAAAAATACGAAGACGTCATTGTAGAAGAACCAATATATTGATTAATTACGTTATTTAGAACACTCACCACTCAATGATACATTTCTGTAGTATTTTTGTAACCGTTCACCAATAAATCGTGAGGTTGAAAGACTACATCGATGGAACTCCGTGCTGCCACATTCATCCTGCACAAAATATGGATATTGATTGGCTCAGCGGCGGCTCCGAGCGCCCCCAGAGTATGCGCGTGCCAGTGAGAATCCTGCGCCGTGCCAAACTCAAGAGTGCGCACTGCGTATCACTATTCCCAGCGCCAGCATAGTTTCGCCACGGCATTGGCACGGCGCTGGCACGGCATTGGAACGACATTGGCACAGGCGATTCTAGAGGCAGCTCTATGTGGGCTGGACTTACTGTAATGTATTTGGAAATGGCTCGAGCTAATACACGTACAGCATCGACAACAAATGGTACATAGGATTCCTGGAAAATTGCCAATTTTGAAGAAAAAATATTTGAAAAGGAGATTAGGACTCGCCTGCTTTAGCGTGTAATTGATATAATCGAAACACTCTCCAAAATAGTTCAGGTCTGGATTTTTATTGCATCCCAAGTGGTCCCAGTACTCTTCCAAAAAGGTGAAACCAACTGGTGAAAGTTTACGAAAAAAGGTCACGTAAGCTAAATAGCATAATCAATATTCTCAAAATATTGTTTACAGATTGGTGACAAAACCATACCTTTTTCCTCTCTCACATAGGGAGCGATGGTAATTGCACCAGCTAGAAGATGTTCCAAGCCTAGCACGACGGATTGTTTGATTCCCCAGGAGTCACTGGCAACAAACCTGAACGTAACTGATTTAGAATAAGTACATTTCAATAGAAAGTGGGGACCAGTTTTCGCCACTTCGAATAACAAATTCGGTAGAAAAAGTGTTAGGGACCAGTTTTCGCTGTTTCGAATACGCCAAAGAGACTGATGAAAACAATACATTCAGTCAAATCTTCAATGGCAAGCTTTGTTTGAAAAAAATTGCCATAATTTCGTTTGATCTTTATATTAGTTATTTGCTCGAAACGGCAATGGGACCATTCGCTATGGTCAGAGACGTTGCGGCGTCGAAGAATCTCACTGCTTGCCCTTAGAAATCTTCAAAGGTTATCACAAATAGAGTTGTTCAGACTAAAACTGTTCATATAAAAATGCTGCTTACGCCGTTCATGCTGCAAATAATTTGACTGAAACTGATGTGGTCCCCATCCAACACATGCTTGAAATCGTGTATTTTCGCAACTATACAAGCAAAATGCTCCCACAAGTTTGTGTATGCAAATTCGTCGAGTTAAAACGAAAAGTGTTAAAGGAATTTCGAGAATCACAAAAAGCCACATATATTGAGATTCCTGCCGGCTCGACAGTAGTTCCCGCTAATAGTGTAGCTCGAAAAAAACGCATAATATCTTTATATTTTTGATTTTTGTACAAAAATCGGCAATCCGTACCTTATTTTTAAAATCCACAACGATAGACAAATCTCCGCCCACTTACCAAAAATGCCGATCCAGCTCCTTATGACCTTCTTTGATGAGCATGTCCAGGGTATGCAACAAACGTTTGAGATTATCCTCGTCGACGAACATCACGACACCACGCGCTTTCCTTGTGTGATGCATGCGAATAAGTAGGTCACTGGAAAATCGATATATCGATTGGCGCGTGCGTGGCGCTAAAGACGATGTTTTGCGTACCGGAAGTTCTTATCAGTCCATCGTCGACTAATCTTATGCACATCTCCATCGATGCAAATACCCATTTCAGTGGCAGCAGCTCGAAACGAGTCCATACCACGTTCACCTACATTTATAACATTACGTATCTAGCATCGTTACAGTACCCCTAAAACTGTAGCATACCGTAAGACCCCGTATCGGCGATAGCATGAACATACGTCCAACCGAGTTCAAGTACCTAAAGTCCAATTTTATTACAAGGGCATTGCATACATCAGGACAACAGTGATAGTACACGAGAAGAGGGGGGGGGGTTGAGAATTATAAAAATGGTATTAGGGGGCAATATTATTACTTTTACAGTCTATATTATTGACATCATTCTTCAATATGCAGTTCGATAACAGAATTGATTTACTTTATTATATTGCACAAGAATCAATCATAATAAATTTCTTCGAAAAGTGACTTCCATGTGAATAAGTAGGTCGCCGAAAAATCGATATATTGATCGATCGATGCATGGCGCGCATTTCAAATAGAGTTTTGCTTACCGGAACACCTATTCGACTAGTCAAGGGCTCAGCGTTGAAAAAAATCAAAAAGTAGATAATAAATTTTATTTTAGCAAAACTAATTCAAACATACTCTAACTATTCAGGGAGTCTTATGACAAAAAATCAATAAATTTTTTACACTCACCACCCGTGCCATCACTTGTGCTTGCAGATTATCCGGTGGTACTACTCGGGAGAAAAACGCAAAACGAGGTTTTTCGCTGAGCTCAGCACCAGTGGACGAGTAGCTGACTTGTGGTATCTGGAATAAGTTACGGTAGATGGTACTGTAGGGGTACTGTAGCTGCTGGGTGTAAGCTAATTTGTGTGATTTTCATATGAAAGTTGCAAGTTTTCAAAGACAGCTACGTCAAATGAAAAAACTATCTCTAGGGGTGTGAAAAGCATGAAAAATATCTAAAAAGAAAGAGAAAAAAAATTTAAAATAAATTCAGAGAGAAACTCGGAGAGCTAATCTGCACGGAAAAATTTTTTTAGAACACATCGACATCAAAATGAAAAATAACTAATTGCAAAATTCATACTTTATGAAGATTTATTTTAAAACTTCAAGCACATATTGATTTGCCTGGTCAAGTCTTGGAATCTTGAAGATTCGCGGTCCAGAGGACCAGTTCTCGTCCAAACGCAAAATGCAAAGTGGTGGCTAAACTCCTTCTATTTTTTGTCCTTCATAGGTGCCAGAGAAGATTTCACGAATTTGTTTTCAAAGTTTCAACCCCCTTTTTCAACTTGACAAGTCCCCATGTGTCAGCTAAGAGCACTTGCTCACGATGTTCGATCGGTGATGCACTAAAAGCGAAAGAGCAGATGTATGGCGAGTTATTCATGTGAAACGAAGCGAATAAGTGAAACGCCCGAAGAGTTAACAATCGCAAAAAGCCACTCGCCCCTAAGAGGTCATGCGGCCGGTGATGGACAAGCGAGTAAAGGTCGCAAACATAAGTGAACTGAGGTAGAAAATACGAGAAGGTCGGGTTTATTCTTGCAAGACGTTACGGAGTACGTAAGAATAAGAACTATTTGGTTGATCAGTATTTCGCAAAAGATCACTTGAAAGTCTCAAAAAAGCACATTATTGGAAAAACGAGAACTGGTCCCCACGAATTATGGATAAGAATAACAGCTATAATTGCATAGAATCCACTGTCTATTGATGAATATTTGTTGTTTTCTCACCAGCCTCAACTAAAGATCTAAAAAAAGCAGATTGTCGAGAAAGAAGAAATGGTCCCCTATAATTGAGTCTGCACATAATGAGAATGCGTAATAGCATAAATCCACATTGTCTTTCTATGAACTATTATTGGAATTCTCGAAAAAACCAGTTTGTTGGACAAACGAGAACTGGTCCCCATAGATAAGGCTGTATATAATGAGATAACAGCTTAGAAGTACGCTGCCTCCCAACCAGTAATATTTTCCCATGAGCCATAAATCAAAAGTCTCGAAAAGCAATTTGTTGCCGGGACGAAAACTGGTCCTCAGAGGAGGTTGCAAGTGATGAATTACCGCCATAACACTTCAGACACATTTTATCTTCCGATGATACCCAATAAATTTCTATAAACTATCAATGGAAGTCTGGAGAAACATTTAGAAAAACGAGAACTAGTCCTCTCAAACTGAAGTTGTGAATGATGAAATGCTTGCTACAGTAGCTAAAACACATTTTTTCTTTAAGTCGTATCCAATTATTTCCCATCAAACATCAATCGAAAATGCAAAAACACTTTTAGGAAGAACGAGAACTGGTCCCGGCGTATCGAGATTTATCAACGAATTTTTTCTGTTGTATCACACTCCATCTAGTGCCCCATGTTATAAAGCCCAGTAGTATGACTTTTGAACTATTCAAATGCATGTTTAGGCAGAATGAGCGTAGAAATTCGACACCATCTAGGCCAAAGATTTGGAACTGAGGTGTCGCAAAATTTGATTTGCTTTGAAATCCAGACTGGTTAGAAATTCAAGGATATTGGGCTCAGGAAGAGAAAAAAATTCCAAATTAGAATTTTTCTAAAAAATTACAATAATTGAAAAAAAAATCAAAAATCAGTACCCGAAAAAGCTGCAGCATGCTGGCCACCATCACCGATACTTGACTTCCAGCAGCTCCTACGACTGCTGCTACAGGTTGACGATGATAAGATGCGGGTGAGCCATCCTGAAAAAGGAACATTCCAGAAAATTAGTAAAAATGAGTTGCTTGCACTGTAAGAGTATAAAGGAGGACGCATGAAAAGTAAAATCAGTGATTCTTTCCATTCCAATGTTCCAAACTGGTGTGACTTCAATAGAAAAATCTCGAGATTTATTTTCATTGAAGATACTGTGACTGAAAAATAGTGTATTCAACTTACCGCGCAAATAGCTCCATCACCGCTGGACATCACTGATTTGATAAATTCCAGTGATTGTTCCAATGCATGGCTATCCACGGAGCTGTAAAAAAATCAAAATCAACTTCATTTGCTAGAAAGCAAGGATAGAAAATTCGAGATACGGGGTAGTTATAAGTGGGAATCTCTTAGATAGGCAAATTTCACCAATATTTGCTAAAAAAGCATGTAGTAAAAAATTGAAAACTTCACTTTAGTTACCAAAAAGTGAAGATAATTCCCGAGCCAGAATAAACCGTGATTAAAAGTTTCTGATGAGAAAATTTCACTACATTTATTCTTAAAGAGGGTGTAATACAGGCAATCAAAATCCAGAATTATTGAGTATTTCTTTCTTCAAAAAATTGAATTGAGTTATCATAGCAGATTCTCTTTCTTTTCTTGGTGGAGTTGATGTTGAAAATTTAAGCTTTTCTCAGAGATTTTCTAGATCAACCTTTCGGTAAATCAAAAAGCAGCCCATTCCCCCCCCCCCCCTTATACTAATATTTTGGACCAAGATTCAAGGCCCACCTCAAGTCAGAAAAATTAGATCATTTTTTTATTGGATTTGTCCAAACTAGCTCTGGCACGCATTGTCCCCTTTCGTATTTTCCTCCCCCCCCCCCCTCCTTCTCCCCTCCCTCCCATTCGTACTCCCCTTCCCAGCAAAACTGCTATTGAGCCACATACTAGGCTTAGGGGCATTCGATCTCAAAGACTAATGGAGCCGTTAGCCCAGCACACGCGTCAGCGTCGAGGTTTTCATCGCTTCGGAAACATGATCCATCTCCAAATCAGGAACTACTAACGCCATAAAACACATCCAGTTGTTTATTCTAAGCTGTTTTATAAAGTACTGGACTGGAAGGAGGGGAAGAAATAAGCTATATGTGGGCATAGTTCTGAAGCATTAGAAAAAAAACTGGGCAGACGAAAACTGGTCCTTTTTTGGAAGGGAGACCGTTAAGTGGGCGGAGCATGCCCAGTACAGATAATGAAAGGATGTAGGAAATATATACTTAATTCAAAAACTTCTACTGACACAAAAATTTCATATCGGTGCATACAAGTACAAAGCAATAATTCGCAGCCCAGAAAATCGATTATCGATTTTTTCCAAATGATTCTTACCATGTGTCCAAAATCTGTGCCCCGAGGCTGGCTTGAGGTAGAACAGAACTGTCTTGATTCACTTTTTCCAACGCATATAACATAGCTACCATGCGTTGCACACCCTGATCGGCCTGCAATCGAAATTATTGATTTATTGATTGGCTTAGGATTGGAAATCTGACTCACTTTGATTTTTCCACATTGCGATCCGTTTCTACCGGCCTCGTGTATCGGGAAAAGACCGCCCAGCACGATTTCGCCGGGAACTGTGACCTTGAGAAGCGATAATCAAGAGGCATTCTAATCAAAAATCGATAAATCCATACCTGTCTTACTGCAACTGATATGGTTAAAATATAGTACAGAAGCAATAGGATGGTGCCCCATCCCATATCACAGAAGCACCTAAAAAATAAATTTGAGTTTAATTCGAAAAATTTCGGAAAATCAATAATGATCGATAGAATGGTGACGGTAAAACTACACATTACTCATTACTGATTACATGAGTATCAATTACGTCGATCGTGAGATAAAGATGTGCGGAAGATTATTTGTATCGGAGAAATTCATTACTTACATGAAACAGGAAATTATCTGAGAGTGTCTAACTACCGTAATCGAGGACGCTGCCTAGTCAGCTCGGAGAAAGGAGTACGGTATGGGGGGGGAGTTTGAAGTTGCATTTCTCGATAACAGATGGTTCGCATGAACTGCTGTTAAGGCTGTGGTTTAGTTAAGATTCCCCAGTCAGTGCCTACATAAGAAACCCACTTAGCCAGTCTTACCCAAACAATGCTTCTTAGACCCATAAGACATGGGTTACGGTAACTTTTTGGCACCACCGCACTCATAATCCGTCGTTTACGAAGAAGTATAGCGGTAATACCCCATTTGCTCTACCCAATACATAAATTATGGTAATAAATATTTACTTACTGTTCCGTCAGGAACAAAGACCTACCACTGCCTCGAAAGTTTGGACCAAGATCGGTTGAAATCGCAAAACATCAAACAACAAGATAATAATGAATATGAAAAATATGAAATAGAAATGACGCAAGTGAATAAATAAATACCCATTAAATTTTCCATGAATGAAGGCTCTCATGGAAAATATAGTTATTGGACTTTAAGAGCTGTCCGCAAATATTGTCTCATAATATGTACTCATGAAAGTGTATGAGTGAAAAATGATCACTTTGAGAAGATCGAAAAACAAGAGGAGTTGTGTAGAATATTTAAATATGCGAGACAAAATACAAAGTGCAGGGGGGGGGGGGGGCAAGAAAGAGGAAAGTTAGAGCGGGTAAAAAAATTTGGAGTTATACTTTTTATTATTGACCCCCCCCCCCCCCCACCTCTTCCTTGCGTCGCAAATTTGTTGATAGTAGCCTACATTGGTTATAAAATCATGTATGCAACTCATTTTGCGAATAACTCGAAAGTTTTGTGTTGAAATAAAAATGAAATCAAATTTGTAAAAAAATTTGCAAAAAATTTGATAATCTTTTCAAGGATGTCATGCAAAACCTTAGCGAACCACCCATTCTTGGAGAACAAATTTATTTTCTTGCTCGTTTCTCGCTTCTCCCCCTCTCCTCCCCCCCCCCCCTCCTTCCCGCCCCTGATATCTAGGGTCGCTAGTTGATTCTCAAATAAATTAGCGGTTAGAAGCGACTATAGACTCTTATTGGTAAATAAAAATTGGAGAAGTTATTAGCAAAGAAGGAAAAAATTACATTCTTTTCTTGGAAAAGCTCAGGTTTTTTCGTTACTTTTTCTCCCAAAAAAAATTCTGCTATTTCCATGCATGGTTACTTCAAGTTCCTTGATAGAGTCCATTTGAGAAAAATATTACGACTCAAAAAATTACTGGATCAATAGTAGTCAGACGAGTAGGAATGGTCGGAACAATCGAGAATACTCCGATTAGTCTAGCTAGAAAATATCTGCTAGATCATCGATCGCTCACAAAAACAAAAGTATCAGTTGTCCTGGCAAAAAGTGCATAAATTACTACGACAGAGCAAACATATGACAGCATATGTATAGCCACATATTCTTGTGAAATACGATAGCTATGAGAGATGGAACTGAATGATCATCATAAATCCGGATAGAATGACGAAACTTTCTGCGTGTTTGATTTATTTTGACAATTATTTAATTTATAAGAGCTAAGAAAAAACCATAGACTCTTGCAAAATCTTGAAAAATAGGAAAGAAGTAAATAAGTGAAGTCTGAACAAAAAATCAAGGAAAACTTTAGCGATGTTTATTATTAACGCAGGAAAAAATGTTTACACTAAAACAAGCTTCAAATATAAATCTATGAAATTTTAAGAAAAAATTCTGGAAGAATGCAGAAACTTAGAATTGAAAAACAAAAAACAGCTCTAGACTGTGACCTTAGAAAATGCAGGAAGATCCTTACAGAAATTTGGCAGATATTTCTCGAATTCTAAGAAAAAATCAATAAATTTTCGTTTACTGATCTATGAATGGTATTTTACACATTCTCGAACAACTTAATCTTTGCATTATAGTGAAAGGATTTTGCCGATTGGACTAATTCAAATTTTTAGTTTAGACCATCTTGATTTACCGAGCACTTTGCGTCCATTGGTAAAATGTCCATTGACTGTGTTATGCAAAAGCCACATTTTTGTGAGAAAATATGAAAAAGTTTTTTCTCTTTTTTTGGGAAAAAGCCACATAAAAGTGCGTATAATGTGCGGAAATGCTTCAAAATTCCATTATTACAGCAGAAGCTGCAGATAAATTTTCGAATGCGACCATTGTTGAAAAATTAGAAATTCGGAAAAATAATTCCGTTCCACTGAATGGTGGAGTAGAGGTTGTTAACAAGTTTTGTGTGGTCCTAAGAGGAAGACTTAACAAACTATATAGAAAAACTTCTTCAACGTGACGTATGTTTTGCGGGTTTTCAAAACAGCTTCGAAATGACTTCTTTTAGCGCCTCACTACAAATTACTTCGACTCAATCTCGTGGTAATCGGTTTTTATCCCGTAAGGAACAAACAATTATTTATTTGTCGACAATTGTCGATGTTGAGTTGGTAAAAAAGCTCTAGAACAATATGGGTTTTGGTAACAACTATTCGAATGGAAATTTAGGTAAAAATAAGGTTTTGTTAAAAATTACAGCTGTACCCCTATAATATTTATAGAAGACTATAATTAACATACAGAAGTTAGATGGAACACAAAGTGCAGGAAGAAAAAGCACTCAAAAAATGTTGGACTCGCCTTTGACTCTAAGCTCCGCCCACGCATATGTTATGTTACAACCATATAAAAGGGCAACCAATTTACGTTCTTATAAAGTATGGAATATCAAATTGAACGTTCCGAAGTTCCTTAACAACCTGACAATAATAAAATTTCTAGGGTGAAACTAAGCTATGAGGTAGGGTCGAGTCATTTGTGACTTGTGGATTTGCAGACACTACGCGGAACCACACGAATCCAAATCAACAATATGCCAAAAAAGTCGTGAAGGACCAAACCGAAAAGATGTTTACTTGAGTTTTGAATCTGAGCTAACCACGATTAACCCATTGACGACGATGTGGACCACCGGCGGCCTACGCGCTTTTTGCTGCCGCGGACGATGTGGACCCCCGGTGGCCCACATCTCTCGCAAAGTCGTATTATTTGCAGGTCTAGTACTTCTTCCACATATGAATATTTTTTTCCAATTTTTTGTATTCTTAGGACCTATAGGCTCTGTCGTTCAAGAAAATGTTGATAGTTGTTTACAATACAATGTTGCATTTCGTAAACAAGCATGAAACCTTCCCACACTGAAAGTGTTCTGCAAAATCGCGTCGTCCCGCAGCGCCGCCGCGCAAAATTAGGCGTCGTCGTCAATGGGTTAAAATGGGAAAAAATGAAATTCCAAAAACTGGTAACTTAAAGAGGATATAAGACGTGAGATGAGGCGCGTGGTGTGCCGTATACACAATAAGTCACAAATGAAAGGGTAACTTTGGAATTTTGCATGGTAAAATATAAACAGATTATAAAATTATAGCAAAGATAACTTTCGTAATGTAAAAAATCTATCCCGCTCTATAACACTAACTATTTTCTTGTTCAACTGAAGAGATAAACGGTTGTTAATTCTTCTTGCGTATGATTTATCTAGAAACTGAAACAGAGATTTTTTTAATTTCCTCAATTTTTTTGAAGGCTAGAATTTTCACTTACGAGAATTTCATTGCTTAGTGCGAGTGTGAAATCTAATATATAAAGAATCGTTAGCTCAATTCAAAAATCTTCCAATAGCGGGAAACCGCGGCGGGTCCCGAAGCGAATGCTCTTTTAAATAATACCATAGATTGCTGGTTCACTAGTTACAAGAAATCGCCATTTTACTCATGACCAAAAAATATGTTTGAGATTGAAAATCAGGAAAAAATTTCAAATTGCAATTCTAGAAATCCTCGATATGTAGGTATTGCTAGGACTATTGCTACATAGAAATTACCACATAAATGAAGCTGTGAAGAGAAACGAGCAGGAAAAACCAAGCAAATGAGACTTTGTCTCCGCCCATTTGTTATGCACAAGCGAATAAAGAAGCACAACGAAACTTTGCAGAAACCCGCAAACAAAAAGGAAAGAGCTAAAAATTGCAAAGCATGTGACAAGCGATCAATATGGCCGTTCTATTTTCACTAATTCAAATTCTAATAAAACTTAAAAATTCTAAAAAGAGGTGGTAATGAGTAAACATTGATGTTAAATTCTTGAGAATGCTGGTAAAACTGCATTCACAAAGGGTTAAAATAACTGATACGCAAGGACGTCTCGAAAAGGAGGCGGGGGGGGGGGGGGAGCGGGGGGGGGGGGAGACGAGATTGCAAAACTTTTGAAAGTAAATGCTTACAAAAGTTATGAAAATGATGAAAATGTGCAAGGACTAGCGTATATTTGTAAGGAATGAAATTAAATAAAGAAAAATAAAAGTTAGAATTAATTTTAAATGAATAAAAATGAAATTTTATTAAAAATACAAATTAGCCGTGTAAAAGTGTTTTTCCAGGGGTTGCATGGGCCCGGAAAAATGCATCCCAGAAAAAGAACTCAGGAGTGTGCCGCTGATACGCACCTTAAAATGATAAAATTTTTTGTCCCCTGCCCCTCCCCCCAGAAGTTATTGAAGGGGGGGGGGGTGCCAATAGCCACACACTCCTGATTTTTGGGATGCAAAATTTTTCCGAGCCTAGATGCCGCCGTGGAAAAATACTTTTACACGGGTAATACTTTGGAACAGAATTTTCGCTTTTTTCAAATGCCTCGCATTTTAGCTTCGCACCCCCCCCCCCCTCACCATTATTTCCCACATATGTTTTCGTTTATTCCATGATTTTGCAAAAAATCGCCAAAATCTTTCAAAATATTAAGAACATGTGCGATTGATAATGCGATTTTTTCGCAAAATCATGAAATAAACAAAAACACCCAAAAACTGATTAAATGATAAACTATGATGCTTGAAAAATTTAAACATAAATTCAAAATTGTATTGGAAAGAATATTTTGAGAAATGCAATATTAGGCTACATCGGCAAGGGATGGGAGTCAAAATGACGGGAATAAAAAAATAAAAAATAATGATGGCGATACAGGAACGACAGCAAGAAATTTCGACTCAAGAGCGAGCTAAAATGGGAAAAGAATTCTTGTTTGAAAATTGTTGAGTAAAACCTCAAAAAATTTTCCAATGTCTAAAAGACTACAGTTTGTATATCGATGAAAAAGTGTAACCAAATAGTTAGAAACGCAAATTCAAATTAGACCAAGTATAAACGTCTAGGCGAGA